TGTTCCCATGTTTGACCACCCTTAAAGTAAAAACGTGTTTTCTTGTATTCAGATGGAATATCATCTCTTTTAATTTGTGACCACTGTACCTTTTCCTGTCACAGAATCCTTTAGGTTGGAAAAGACTTCAAAGAACATCAAGTCCAAACTTTGACTGATCACCACCTTGTCAATTAGACAATGGCACTAAATGTCACATCCAGTCGCTACTTGAACACCCCCAGGGATAATGACTCCACCACTTCCCTGAGCAGCTCATTCCAATACTCAACAACTCTTTCTGTGAAGAAATTCTTCCTGACGTCCAACCCAAACTTTTCCTGGTGCAGCTTGAAGCCATTTCCTCTCATCCTTTCATTGGCTGTTTGGGAGAAGAGGCTGACCCCTGCTTGGCTACAGCCTCCTTTCATGCAGTTGTAGAGAGCAATAAGGTCTCCCTTGAGCCTCCTTTTCTCCAGGCTAAACAACCCCAGCTCCCTCTTCAGAGGACTTACTGTCAGTCAGTAGCACTAAGCAAAATCTGTCTCCCTCTTCTTCAGCCCCCTGCCCTCAGGTATTTATATCCATGGATAAGTATCCCCCTTAGCTTTTTCTTCTCCTCTCTGGACAATCCCAGCTCTCTCTGCCTCAACTTCATAGAAGAGACACTCCAGTCCTTTAACAGTCTTCTTGGTCCTTTGCTTGACTTTCTCCACCATGTGCATGACTCTTTCTTTCATACTGGGGATCTCGGGGTGTGTCTCACCTGGGCTCAATAGAGTCTTGACTCCAGTCTTTAGAGATACCAGTAAAGAAGGGAGTGAAAACCAGACTTTCACCCTTTGCTCAGATCCAGTCTCTGCACTGAGAGTCACTGAGTCTGTATTAGCTGATGATTAGGGGATCCTTGAATGACTGATGAATTCAGACTGCTCTCTATTGGAAAAGGATTTGTATCACAAAAGTCACTGTTCCAAGTGCTGCCTTTTATGGAATCTTAGCTAAGAGGCCAAAGGTAAAAGACTTCAAGACAACAGGCAGTCCTCACTACCCAGATGATGGAATTGAATTGTTTTGGTAGAGGGAATACCTCTGAAGAGCCTACTCACACCAATTCCCACAGCATGTCACACCTCCACACAACTTCATGAGCTCTCTGTAACTCTTCTGGAAGAAGACATGACTTGACCAATTACAGAGGCACCTTTGGCTACTGGCAAAACAGGCCATTTTCTAACACAGTGAGAGGTTGGTGTGTGTTTCCCAGTGAGCTCCCAAGCATGCACCATGGTAAAAATCACAGCCCAATTTACCTGCACTATTGTATCAGTCCCATGTAGAGGATGATCGACCTCAAATGCATTCTTCATTGCAAATAAGTGACATTGTTTAGTGAAACAGGATGGAGAACTGTCAGAGAGGGACCATGCAAACTTCTCCCAAATTTGAAAGAAAATCACTGTATGGAATAACCATGTTGTATCACCAGCACAGAGAACAATCAACCAAACAAAACATTTCCCTGACCCTAATAGAATGCATCTGATTCACATACTAAATTAAAGGTATCCTATGAAACGTGACAAGGAGGCTGAGGATCCAAACAGGGTGTGAATCACAAGGGAGCGCCTGAACACACAGCGGAGGACGCACAACACCGTAGCCTTCACAGCAGCGACCTCCCTATTGCTGGCAACAACCGCGGTCACAGGCCAAAGCCACTGTCCCGCCGGGATCCAGCCCGCCAACCTGAGCAATCGGCGTTTGCCCGGCCCGGATCGTGTCCCCTCGGCGAGCGCTGCGCGGCCCCCGCCGCTCCCGCCCCCGGTGCCGCCGCTTGCGTGGAGCTGTGCTGCCCTCCGGCGGCGCCGGCAGCGGCGGCAGCGGCAGCAGAGGCAGGAGCGGCAGCCGCCCCTGGCCGCGGTGGCCCGGCCGGGCACAGGGACACGGCGGCAGGAGCGGAGGGCTCCGGTGGCGCCGCGGCACGCCGGCATTGCCCAGCGCGCTGTTCGCCGAGTAAGGCGCCTTCGCGGTGTCCTTGGCCGTGGCAGCGGGTGGAACTGGGCGATCGCTAAAATCCCTTTCCAACCCAAACCGTTCTGCGCCATTCATATTTTCGTCTTCTTTGAGATTTCCTTAAACGTTTTCTCGCTGTTCTGCTCCCCCAGTTCCTAAACGCTCTCTCCCTTTGGTGCTGAGAAGCGGATCTGCAGCATATGGCTTCGCGGAGAAGATGCTGGGAGTCAGAGGAACCGAGACTCAGTTCTGCTCGCCAGGGAGCTGGAGCGGGAGGCCGAAGCACACAGCTCTCACCTGCTTGCGCTCAAGTCTAGGCCAATATTCCTATACATCTCTTGTAAAATTATTTAAAGATCACATATTTTTACAACATCACCTATATAGAGATATAAATAGCTTGTACTATAAATCAAAGCTCTGTAAAAAATGTGATTTAAACACTCCTAGGCATGAACATTATAATGAGAAACTACTGGCGCTTCATACTACTTAACTCAGATATTTTTAAGCACTGGGAAAGCTGTTCTGATAGCAACATTCATTCACAACTTCATATTTATTGAAGTCACTAAGGAACAACGAGGAACAACGTATGTCATTGGCTCTGCATTCAAGATCATAAATCATTGCTGTAAAACGAACACAGCTAAGCACCAGATATAGAGCCATTGAACCACAGCCTGGTTTGGGTTGAAAGGAACCTTTAAAAATCATCTAATCCAATCTCTGATGAGTCTCAAGGGAATGTTGAACAGAGGAATTACAAAGAACTGTCCAAGAAAAATCCTATTCAATTGATACTAGGAAAATGATTCAGTGCCTACATAGAAAATTCTCCCTGGTGCAACATATCTGGTTTTGTTAGGTGGGAAAAAAAGTAAACTGAAATTTCTAAGGACCATTTTTTAACTCAGACAGTGCAGACTGTGAACTAGGCACAAATAGAGCAGCACTCTCTGTGGCAAAGAACTACAGAACCAATATTGATTTCAGTGGAGGGATTAATTCCATAGAGCTTTTATACAGATACAGGAAAAAAACAAGTGCTTCATTGATCCATAACGTTGCCTGAAAGACATGCACTACCTCATTAGATCTGATAATTTAATAACTGAGTTTGGAGTGTTACTTTGAAATACAGTCACAGCAGTGTATACTGAAATCATATATTGTCACGTGTAAGATGCGCATGCTGCAAAACATTGCATTCATCTCAAGGAATCCCCAGGAACTGGGACTATACAGCTCATTTCATCTTTCAAGTAGTTCAAAATGAACCTGCAAGCAGTACATTACATATGTGGCTTGAACATACAGCGAGTGTGATGCTCCCATCATTGAAGCTGTGAAACAATGCATCCATTTTTCAGGAATAGCACCACACAGAATCACAGGGAAACCTCGAAGTTATTGCAGGTCTCGTGGAATATGCAATACTGATGTATAAACTGTGGATGTCTAACACTGAGGATGTAAAAGGAGACTTTATGTTGTGGATATAAACCTACCGCTTCAGCATTTAAGAACTATGATGGTTTAGGTCAGGTCCACTGGAAGAGGTATAGGTAAGATCTGGGTATGTAGGGGTGTGTTTATACATATATACGCTAATACACGTGTGGTGCAACGAGCCTTATACACGGGCAAGCCTCGACCGTGCTGGGTGCTCCTGCCCCACGGTCAGACGACACCTGCACGCTCGGGCTGTGGCAGGGGCTCCCTCTCCCCGAGGACACTCGGTGCCGGCCGGGCTCGCCCGGGACTCTGCCCCGGGGGCGCTCGGTGGGGACTGCTCGAGGGAGCCCAGTGCGGGGAGCTCGGGGAGCCACTGAAGCCTCCCGAGGCTGCGACGGGTCCGGGAGCGGCGCCTTGCCGGGAGGTGCCCCCGGGTGCCCGAGGGCCGGGCGCGCCCCGCACACCGCCCCGCGCTC